GAGAGAGAGAGAGAGAGAGAGAGAGTGAGAGAGAGAGAGAGAGAGAGTTATAAATATGCAAAATATGCTAGTTTATTATCAGCAGTTAAAATAAATAAAACATACCTTAAAAATTTCCTCAAATATACCGGACCTAAAAATATTTGGTATAAAATCCTTAGCATTATATAAGTCTTCCAATGAATCAATTTGTTTGGACTTTATTTTGATAATCAATTCAACGTTAATAAAGGCATTGAAACAAATTATTACCAATAAATATATGATACTAAAATATGTTATCAAAATTGTGAATGAATTCATTTTGAAATTCACAAAATAATCTAAAAATGTGAATAAATAATTAGTAAACATAAAAATATATTGTACCATACTATACTTGTTAAGAATAAAATGTTTTATATTAAAGTTATTAATACTTACGTTGATTTAAAAACACTCGTATAATATGCCATGTATTCAACGAAATTGGCTTAAAATCAGTTAATACTACTAGTAAAATAAATATGAATAAAAATATGCTTAAAACGAGCCATACATTGGCATTAATTCGTGTAAAATAGTCGATTAAATCGTTTTGTGCTAACAATTGATTAGATTTAGTGATAATTATATTGGACGACGAGAACAGAAACTTTGAGAAATCTATTTTGTCGGCCCTTTCGGTGGTCACATATAATGGGTTTATAGCGAAATCAGATTTCTATAAAATGCAACAATTATTTTATATTTATAATTAATGAAGCAGTTTTGATATACATATTTGAAATGTTCATACATTCTGATAAATGTGGTCAACCAGTCCATTCCAATTACTATGTTTGGGTATTATTAGTTGAAGGCTATAGATATAGATTTACTATAATTTTGTAATTTCTTTTATAATTAACAATAATGTATAGTATTTATAGTATTACCTGTAATTGAATTTCTCTTGAAATATATTCCAAATCTTAGCATAGTTTCCACTCAAACTCCGTTGATTATCATTTGACATGTTGAGTTGTATATACGGGTCCCACTAAATTAAAAATAATATGCTAATGAATTAAACATGAAAAATTATAAAATGTATTTTAAGCTGTTATAGTTTATTTGATTATACTGTAGTTACATACAGGTATAACCGATACCGTAAGGTTTTGCATTGTCTAAATAAGTCTATTTAAAATAATTTTAATTTTTATAATATTTTCTTATTTGTAGAATATTTTTATTATACAGTATATTTGTGAATAACATTTTAATTTAATTTTTATTAAACTATAGATATTTTCCAAACAATCTACTAAATAATATACAATTTATAAAAGTGAATTTTTACAAGTGTCTTAAAATATAAATTGTCATCCAGTAATGACAAAATCTATAAAAACAGAATCATTAGCTAAATATAGATTAAAAAGCATTTGAACATTAAAATATAATTACATTCATACAGTATATGAATCATACTAATGGAATAAAATGATAAATGTTCATTCATACTGAAGTAGACATGAAACCATTTAACAAGCTAACAATGAGTTTGGATTGTCTAGAACATTTAAAATTAATTGCCACTTAATGTTATGTATGGAAAATTTTACTTAATAAATTAACATTTCAATGAATAGCACGATAAATGTCATAAATATAATTGAAATAAAAATTGTGGCAAATTTTTTCATATTATAGACATTTAATGACGTGAAATCGGTATAAAGTTGAGGTGTAATCCCGTGAATACATTCATCCATTTCCGCGCTACAGTTCCCAAACCCAGCGTTAGGCTGTCCTATCGACCACTTCCCTACCATACCATTTGATATGATATTATCGACACTTGGTTTGCATACAATTTCCCAAAAATTAATAAACAATACTTTTTTTTATAACAAAACACTTACATATGATTAATCCGTTTCGCAGTATTTATATTCAAATACTTGTTTAGACCGAAAACCATGACTACCGGGAAGAATGAGTCCCGCGATATATGCCATCGATTTGTAGGCATTAGTTTGCAAAACTGGTATTTCGTGGTCAGTATTTCGTTGAGTTGCAGCTCTATTATGGCTACCTTTCCCTCATCCATATAAGCCATAAATCGATGCATATTTCTCGGAGACTTGTCCAGTGATGACTTGAATACCCGGATAGATATGTCGCGATTGCCATCAATACGATCCCATAAATCATTAAATTTTGGATCCGGATTTGTCTTGAGGTATAATCAGGTGATAAATATTTATACAAATCTTACAAAAATAATAATACCTTAAAATATGTGCCAATTAGTGAGAACTCATACATAACAGGTATGATTTGTTTTGCGTTATATAAGTCCAGCAAACTGTTAATCTGATTGTCGTTGAAATTAATAATCTTTTGCACATTAATTAAGGCATTAATGGATATGCATAACATTGTGAATGCTATACTAAACAGTGTAATCAATACTGTCATTGGATTTAATGTAAACACGTTAAAGTCACCTAAATTTCATTTCAATTAATGATAATTATTAATAAATAAATAATTTATCGCTTAAATAATTTATTAATTAAGGCTTACTTTGGTTCAAGAATATTCTGAATACACTCCAAATAGTAATGTGTTTATACTTTATTGATGTTAGAGATGTTTTTAGTGATAATATGATTATAATAAATGCCAGAATCGATAGACCAATTGATAGCCATATTCTGGGGTCTATTCGGCACAAGTAGTCAATGAGATCCTGTTGTGTGATCTGATCACTGGATTTAGTCATTAGGATATGTGAATCAAAATTAATGGGTTTAGTGAACGATATTTTCATAGACCTGTCGTATGTTTGAAATATTGGATTCAGTGTTATATCGGATTCCTATGATTTATAAACATAAAACAAATAACAAATTAACAAACAATTATTTATAATATACTAAATCAAATAAATTATTTACATTATTATAGAGATTGTCGACCACTTCATCCCAACTAAAAACTTTTGGTCTTATTATATCAAAACTGTTTTTATAAATAATTATAATTTCTCAATAAATTACATTTAAGTACACCATGAATACGTTTACCTGCAATTAAGCTGATCTCTAATAATAGCCATTATGTGGACTACAGTTCCTCGTAATGTCAAACTGCCGTTCAATTCATTAACCACAACCCATTGTTTGTGCTTTAATCATGGTAATATGGGTATAGATTTATAATATTAAGAATTTTATTTTAATAAAACTGTTTGATTTAATATAAACTAGTTCAATTATCATACCGGCATCACAACTAGTCTCAAATTCATAATTTAAAATATGACTATTAACACCAATACAGTACAATGTTTTATATTTGATTTCAGATTATGTTTCAAGTATTTTTTATTATATAATACAGTAAACAATGTAAACTAAAGTAAATATGTTTCACTCAAATGTTTTTGATAATATGGAAATTGTATTGTAATAAATGTAAATATAATTAGGAAATATTATTCAATTTTATTATGAAATCCACAAATCAAATAATACATTATCTTGGGTAATATGATTTGCATTTAATCCACAATAAAAATACTATGTAATATAATAATAATAATAATAATTGAGAAATAAATAATTTTTAAATGTTAAAACATGTAGAAACTTTATTAAAAATTTATATATAATAATTAATATACAATTAATAAATTACCTGTTCGTAAACTACAATAAATGAATTAGTAATGGATTTGAATAATAAAATAAAACAATTTTGAAAATTAATTATATTAGATTATCAACAGTCTTGATAATCAAAACAAGTTTTCTATAAGTGTTGACATTTATACGTTGTTTACATTAATCACAAAAAATAATTAAATTTACGCCGAAATACTTTATATGTTTAACACTTAACTTACAGATATTTGCCTAATGTTTAACTAATGCAATCGCACTGTAAATATCATTTTTTATTAGAGTTAGTTGTTAACAGTTTAACAGTGTTTATATAACTTCCCATTTAACATAAAAAATATAAATTGTATAATAAATTCCTTGAATTAAATATTTTAGTTGTGTTAACAAAACCAACAATTTCAATACCAACAGAATATTCTTTATTTAATGTGTTATGAAAACAAGTTTATTATTAGAAAGTCTTTTGTTTGCTAACAGTTTGTCGAGATTTTTATTAATAAAACTGTTTGTAGTTTTATATAAGCTTATGTAGAGACTTATTTTAAATTTTGTCACTGTACTAGAAAATATTTCAAACAATTGCTGAATAATTTTGTTAATTATGTTGTAAAACATGTTTTAGTGCATTCAATGCAGTTATCACTATTATTATAATAAATAAATTAAACTATTAAAATAATATATTAAATCATAATAATGTTAAAGAATTTTATTTATTTGTGACAAAGAATTCAATGTTTAAATTCTGTGACCAAACACATTTACTAACAGTTTTGTAACTCGAACCTGTGTAAAGTGCACAAGTACGATAAGCACTTGTGTAACTATGTTAATGATCGTAACGAAAGTTTGCACTAAAGGTATGCCTAATATGTAGACTACCGTCCCGAGGGTCGGGCGAAAAGGGCCCGACTATTGATGACAAACATCGCCTTTTCCGATATAATACTAATTTTGCTTAAATTACGCTTTTTATTTCTACCGTTTATTATAGCTGACTGTCCACTGGTGGCACATGTGGTCCAATCGGTGACCAACTGTCTGAACGCCACAACCCTTTACGTGACATCCATTGTAATGGTTGTGATCGCCGGCGACCGCTATTACCTCATCACAAATGTCTTCGAGAGTCCATTCGATGCCATTTCCACAAGACTTCTGTTGGCCATCATATGGACAGTTAGTCTTATATTATCCCTGCCTTTTATGGTCACAACAGATGTCTATTATTTTGATTACACCAATAAATCCATGGTATTTATAATAGAGTTTATGTTAAATGCTAAACATTTATTAAAATTGTGTTTATAAATAAATTTGAGTTTTATTTACAGTAAAGTAATTTATAACTTACTGTATTTGACTATGACTTACAAAAGACATTGTAAAATAATAGATTTTGGTTTATAACAGGGAACTTTTTTGGCATATTTTACAAATAAGCATATTTGGCATGTTTTATATTAATTCTGCTTGCTTATTGATAAATTTTACAAAATAGTAATAATTAGAATTTACAGAATATTCTATGCCTTAGGTATGCATTAACGATGAAAACTATTTGGTTGGCCTCAACACCGACCACCTGTTCCGACAGATCACACGATTAATGCGATTCAGTGTCCAGTTTGTGATCCCATCCCTACTGATCGGCTATTTTTGTGCCAAAATTATATTCCACTTAAACTCAACACAA